AAAATCTATTTTTTACTTAACACCGATACTGCAGTAGCGTAAGAAAGAAGGGAATTGTACAGGGAATTGTAAAACAGTATTGCACTATCCTTTTGTCTATAATCGCTTAGAATAACTATGTAGGAAAACCACTGCTCCATGGCATTTAAGCGCCTGCAATGCATAGGACGTATGCATCAAAAAGATGTTAACGCGAAAGTTTCGCGAATCCTTCATGCAGATATTGATCGAAAGTAACAGACGATGCACAGAGTCGATTTTCTCATAATCTAATACTAGCACTCAATGTTTGCTGATAAGTATTATGTTCTCAAATTTTTATTTATTAGACCCTTTAGATTTTTGGTCGTTTCATATACGAATTTCTTGTTACGCTTAAACAAAATGGGATGGTTAAACAGCCACAGACTTTACTTTTTTGTCATTGCTGCTTAGATCAATTCTACCGTACAAGAAGACTGCTGGGGTTGCGTGCACCAGACCAGGTCGTTGTTTTACACTTTGCGGTGACGTTTCATGTTGTTTGATGCAAAAGCTAGCGCGTTTATGGCCGTGTTCTCTTTCATGCTAAGCTTATGTACTTTCGTGTTGAGTTCCATTTGGCGTATGGAAAATAAGTAGCCAGCGTTGAGCTTGACCCTTGAAACTGTGGATGCAGTGCGTCATGTTCAATTGCCTACGGATATAGTCTTATAAAATTGATGTTAGTGATTAGCATGGATTCGAAAATTTAATCGTAACGCGTATTATAATCTCTTGGATCTGGTTTCGCTTTTCGGTGTTTGCCCCTTTTTCACAGTGGTCATCGATAACGAATGGTTTCTTGTCGTCTCCTGTTTTTTTTTAACTTATCCTATTCGGCTCTTTGTAGCTTATATACAAGTTTTCTGTTTTCGTCTGTTTCGTTAAGGAAGGAATTCTTCCCACCGTTCGTCGGTGCAAGTACCGAGGAACAAGTTACTGTCTTGCGAATAGCAGGGACAACATGGATGTTGCGTTGTGGTCATACCACAACGGGCGAAGTACATTTTGTTGATTGATCCGAACGTACCTTAGAGATCCAGTTCGTCTACACCCATCCGCCTAGCTGACGTCCAGTGCGATAATTAGCACCGGTGTAGCGTCTGTTGTTGTCTGCAGCGGTACTAAGCTTGTGCTTTGTGCCACAGTTTTATTCATTTGCGGTAGTTGCAGTCGCCGTTGGTATCAAGCGTTATACTGTAAATAGATCATGTTCAGTCCTTGACAGTACAGACTTTTGCGTTTGCTTCAGTTATAGCTTCAGAATATTGCTATTATGTTTTTGTGAGTGTGCCTTTACGGTATGTATCATTCAGCGAGATAGTCATTTGCAACACTAATCAATGCTGGGAGTTTGCAATTTTGTGTTCTGAAGTTCTTCCTGCTTTTTGCCCCGTTATGATATCCGAAACGGGCCGCATCCATTTTCCGATGCAGTGGCAGACGAAGGAAGGAATGTTTTATGTCCATTATTCGAGAAGAACTGACATCGGTACGATAGTGCCATTCCCGGTGATGAATATAAATTTTACTAGGCTCGTATCGTCTGCTGTTCGCCGAAACTCAGACTCCATTTGATGTCATTCACGGCGAAGGAAAGGACATCCGGGTAGGTTTACTGGCACCCTAAAGTATAAAGGGGAGGGTTGTAACTATTATATCTTTAAATTTGAAAAATAAAGGGCATTGTTCATTTGTGCTGAAGATACAAGTTCATGGTCTTCAGGTTCTTACGTGATTCTCGGCGTATAGAATTTATGAAATTAGCAGTGTTTATATCAATACTGGCTTGCTGTAGAATTACCATATTGAAGGATCTAAAAGTCAAATTGTCTAGTACAAAGTCGGATCACGGTTGGTCTGAGCATGGATTGATATGATCAACAAGCTGTCAGCAGCCTAGGCGTAACTTCCTCTCCCGTGCTACCCTGTCATCGAAAATTGAATGTTTGTCAGATCTGTTGTTAGCGCTGTATTTTGACAGTGAACCGAGTATGGCTTGATGTGAGAGTAATCGGTTGTAAAGTTCATTATGCGGAATAGTCGCATAAGAAACAGGAAATCGAACAACCTTATTCGCGTAGGCAAACAGGTGTGTTGTTAGTTCAAACCAGTGCACCCGTAGAGTGTAATACACAATTTAACAAGGGACCGCAGTGCCTAGAATGCTGCGACAAGAAACTTAGTACGGTACCAGTTTCTGCTCCTCTGGGATCTTCAGAGTCCTAGACAGGAAATCTTTATTGACTGGTATTATTAACCTACGCTGATATTCAATGGAGCCTCGAGTAGCGTTGACCTTGCTTCTGATATCAAAAGGCATAAGAAATTTTCGGACGGACTTCACATGAAAGGGATGGCTATCATCCGTCAGTACTTATCTATCAACTGCGTTGCGTTGACTGCAGATTAACTATATCCGCCAAGTTTATCTAGTTGATTTGCGAAATAAGCGTAACGGCGCGATTCAAGGTGCGAAAACGTTTTAGTTGTGGAGTAGCGAAAGCCACTGGGCCGACACGTAATTATCAATATCAAACACTCAGGAACTGAAATACGAACTTTCTCGCCCGCAAGTGTTATCTGGCATCTCAGCAATTTCACGAGGTAGAAGAACCCTTCGAATACTTTAATGAAAGCCGACTTCTCCTGATCACGCTGATCTAGTCGATCATATTGATAGACTCACGGTTCTTAGCAGTGTGTGCTTGGGATCAGTTTGTTCGCAGCAGTTGCTCTTAGACCGGTTGCTGTTGAGTTGGACCCCCTCTTGATTTCCATAACGTCGTCTTGTAGTTCAGAGGAATCGGCTACGTCCCTGATAGCCGAAATTGTTGGCATTCCGGTAGCGCATGTAAAACATTGCAGAGATGGTAACTTGGAGGGGACTGGTGTAAGTGAAGGTCATAGATCGTCATTTTAGCTGCGTAGAATGGTGCAAGTTGGGAAAAAAACCAAAGTTTATTCGT